TAGGGTTTAGGGTTTAGGGTTTAGGGTTTAGCTAACCCCTAAACCCCCAGACCCCGAAACTTAGCTCTTAACCCCTAACCGCTGGCCCTTAAACCCCAAACCCCAAACCCTGAACCCTAAACCCTAAGCCTCAGAAGAGCATCTCGCAGCGCAGGCGCCGCGCGCGGAGTTTGAATTCACGGCAGCAGGCCGATTTCCTTTTGCACCTGTAGCCTCCCTTCTGGTTTAAGGGTTTGGTTCAGGGTTCGTCGCGTTTGGGGCTAAGTAGCGTTTAGGGTTTTCGGATTTCGGGTTTAGGTTTAGGGTTCTAGGTTCAGATTGCGCAAATTAAGGATCCTCCATGTGGCTTTTATCAAGGGCAAACCTGTTGCAAGCTGGCGCTTTTCAAACGGAGGGAAAGCACCTGCCCAGCTGGCTCAGCGCCGAAATCCCTACACCCCAAACCCCCAAACCCCTAAACCGCTAAACCCTAAGCCCTAAACACCTAATTAGACTCTAAACCCTCAACCCCTAAACCCCTAAACCCCTAAACCCCTAAACCCCTAAACCCCTAAACCCCTACACCCCTAAACCTCTAAACCCTAAACCCTAAACCCTAAACCCTAACTCCTAAATCCTAAACCCTAAACCCCAAACCCTAACCCCTAAATCCTAAACCCTAAACCCCTTAACCCCTAAACCCATCAACGAAACCTCAATGAAGCCATTGTCGTGGGCGCGCAAAATGGCGCTGCGCCGCCTTGGACGGCTGGCGCTCGGTTTAGGGTTTAGGGTTTAGGGTTTAGGGTGTAGCGTTTAGGGTTTAGCGTTCACGTTCGTCTTCGCGACCACCGCCAGCCAGAAATGGGATGGGAATGATGGACTGAGGATCCGGCTCAAATGGGAGGCTTGAGCAGGTCTATCGCAACCTAAACCCTAAACCCAAAACCCTAAACCCGAATGTTGCACTGCCGTTAATAGCTAGCCCCCCCCCCCCCCCCCGGCAAACAAATTTGGACCCTCTATAAACGCGTGGCGCGGCAACCCCCCCAAAAAAATGGGGGGGGGGGGGGGGGGTGAACCGCCCTCAGGGCCTCAAGCCTTTGGAAACCTGAAGGCCTGAAGCTTTCCAGCCTTTAAGATTCCTTGAGCCTAAGGCCCTCAGGGCCTCAAGCCTTACTGCGTAAGCCCTCAACCCTAAACACAAACACGTAAAAAAAACAATCATCCGGAAGAAGCTGTGCATTATAGAGGGCGACCAGACAAACTTAATAAAGACAGTCCGGCCGGCCCGTGGCTACCTACCACGAGATTTGTTTGGGGGCCTCGTTTCGTAATGAAAGTCCATCGGGCCTTACATGTAACTGGCCGAGCTTAGCTTTCTGGATATTCCGGGCTCTTTCTCTTTAAGATTCCTGGAGCCCAAGGCCCTCAGGGCCTCAAGCCTTACTGCGTAAGCCCTCAACCCCTTAAAAACAATCAGGGTGGAAAAAATGGTGATAATAGCGGGTACGCCAAACAAACCCGGTTCGCAGAATACATTTTGGAAACTTGTGATTATAGACCCTCCTTACATTACAGTCAGTCCAACATTAAACCCTAAACCCTAAACCCCTATGCTTCTCAGGGTCCTAAGCTTGAAGATTGCCTCGCGTTTCCCAGCCGCATCCGGAACTCAGTCTCGCCAAGATGGCGTCACCTCAAGATTCCAAGTAGTTTAGGATGTAGGATGGTTTGGGGTTTATGTGGGCTGGGCTTTAGGGGATTTTGGGGTTTTTAGTTTGGGGACTTCTTTGTGTTGAAGGGAGGGGGGTGGAGTGAGTGGGAGGTGGGTGGGTATATATAACTCGGTTCGGGAGACTGCGTACATGATTTTAAGGGGTCTTGGGGTCTCAGCATTGCGACAACCTAATCATTGGGTCGGTTCAGGCGGGGTAGGTGCCTAGGAACCTTAGGGAATTAGGGAGCCTTGGGTTGCATACCCCTTGAATCACCCTCGCTTAAGAACCCTATAACCTTACGAGCACCCTTCCTCAAGGTCACCAATGGCCTGAAAGGAGTTAGACTCTACGCCCTAAGAACCCGTTGAACCCTACGAACCCTACGAATGTGAGGTGAATTAGAAAGTTGTCCTTAAAGTAGGGCTATATGCAGGATGGCCCCCATTCCGTTTTTTTTTTTTAACATATTTTTTTAATTTTTTAAACTCATTCCTCCACTGCAGCGCGACAGATCCTGCGGGCTCCTCCGGTGCCAGCTTGCTCTTTGGTCTGTAAGAGCCCCCGCCAGCTCTCAGGCTCTCCTCACACGCCCTGCACCTGAAACCGGTTTAGGGTTTAGGGTTTAGGGTTTAGGGTTTAGGGTTTAGGGTTTAGGGTTTAGGGTTTAGGGCCCCATGGCCTTCCATAGATCCTCCCCGGGGGTCTGGGAAGGTGGCAGCCTTCAGTCGACGTTTCGCCTTCCGCCTCTGCCGCTGGCCGTCCAGGGCGAGCTTGCAAAGAGGGTTTTAGGAGTTTAGGGTTTTTAGGGGTTTAGGGTTTTAGGAGTTTTAGGGTTGTTAGGGTTGTTTAGGGTTTTGGGAGTTTAGGGTTTTGGGAGTTTAGGGTTTCTAGGGTTGTTTAAGGTGTTTTAGGGTTGTTTAGGGTTTTAGGAGTTTAGGGTTTTTAGGGGTTTAGAGTTTTAGGAGTTTAGGGTTTTTAGGGGTTTAGGGTTTTTAGGAGTTTAGGGTTTTAGGAGTTTAGGGTTTTAGGAGTTTAGGGTTTTAGGAGTTTAGGGTTTTTAGGGGTTTAGGGTTTTAGGAGTTTAGGGCTTTCGGAGTTTAGGGTTTTAGGAGTTTAGGGTTTTAGGAGTTTAGGGTTTTTTAGGGGTTTAGGGTTTTTTAGGGGTTTAGGGTTTTAGGGGTTTAGGGCTTTAGGAGTTTAGGATTTTAGGAGTTTAGGGTTTTAGAGGGGTTTAGGGTTTTAGGAGTTTAGGGTTTTAGGGGTTTAGGGTTTTAGGAGTTTAGGGTTTTAGGAGTTTAGGGTTTCTAGGAGTTTAGGGTTTTTAGGGTTGTTTAGGGTTTTAGGAGTTTAGGGTTCTTAGGAGTTTAGGATTTTCGGAGTTTAGGGTTTCTTAGGGTTGTTCAGTTGGCGCTTTGGGCAGGGTGCGAAGACGCGCGTTTGGGAAGGGAGCCCCCTTGATTCGGGAGTGGCTGGGTCTCATTGGGGGTATTCTACAAGTCCTGAGGGCGTGGGTTCCGTGCCAAGCCCCTTCAATCCCGAAATGGCACCTCTTCATTCCTGGGTTTCTCCTGGGTCGAGAAAACTGGCAAGCAGGGCCAGAAGTGCAAAGGAAGCCAAAAGGCGCCTCGGGAAGGCCCAGGGGTTTAAGGTTTAGGGTTTAGGGTTGAGGGTTGAGGTTTAGGGTTTAGGGTTTAGGGTTTAGGGTTCGGGGTTTTGAAACCATCCCGGAGCCGCGCCAGGTGTTTGACTTCCCAACGGTCGGCCAGGCTCCCCAACCCAGGCCGGCCACGTTTTGCCACGTTTTGGGGTTGACGGTTGCGGGTTCTAGGGGTTTGGTTTTTTTTTTTTGGGGGGGGGGGGGGGTTAGGGTTCAGGGGTTTAGGGCTTAGGGTGTAATTAGGGTTTGGGGGTCAAGATCCTACAGTTTAGGGTTGAGGCCACTTACACCAAGGCTCAGTTGGGTTTCTATCTTGGGCATGGGGAAGCCGGGAAGTTTTGCGGTTTCGCCAAAGAAGAACCCCCCGAGGAGGTTGGGGGTGGGGGGGGGGTGGGGGGGGGGGTATATTGAGGGATGTAAACATTAAAGCCCCAAACCCTGAGGCCTTAACCTTAAAGCTTTGAACCCTGACTTCGAACCCCAAACCACCCGGAACCTTAAGCCATGAACCCTAAACCCTAAACTCGAAGCCCTAAACCCTAA